ATATTCGACTGAAAGCGCTTGGAAGGGTCGAAATCATCGAATACGATAATCGGATATGATTCTAATGAGGTTTAGACAGATTGGAGCGGTTATTGTTAGGTGGACCGATTTCCGTTCTTATGCGGACTTGACTTTTGAAGCAGCAAAATTATCTGTTTTACCAAAATCATTACTTTTACAAATATACATCCCACTAAGTAATATAGAATCTGTTATGACAGTAGTCATACTGTCATAAGGACACGTAGGACGTAGTTCTATGCTTAGACATTCCGTTCTCATTATTGTTTATTCTTATACAATTCTTATATGATTCAGCATTCCTTCTTAACTCATTGTTCTTCTTACTGAGTCACGATCTCTCATCAACTATAAATTAATTTAGCTTCAAGAGCTTGAGAGCGCTTTTTTGTAATTTCGATTTTTCAAATAAAATACGGCAGGCCAGCATATTGGTGCACTAGCCGGATCTATTAAACTGGTCATATCATTGAGTGCATGCGTTTGAGAACGGGAAAAGTCTATCCACCGCCGGCGAACACAACTACCCAACCATCTACCATACAAGACAACAACATTCTCTCCAACTATAGGGCTTCATCGGAAGAGTTGCTTTTGGATGCAATTGTGAAGGACTTCCCCAAGTTTCATGGCAATAAAACTGAAAATGTTGATGAATGAATACGAGCAGTTACTGCCAAATTCATTGCTTTAGACCTTGACGATTCAAAGAAACGTAAATGGGCCCCACAATTCTTAATTGGTGAAGCTCTAAGATCGTATCTTACTCAGCATACGACCATCACAACCTGGGGATGAGTTTCAACACACATTACGAACAAATTATCCACCACCGGCGGAACCTATATGTTCAAGTATTTTTCAACAAATATTATCTCGAAAACAACAGCCCAGTGAAAAATTTATACATTATTATACTGATATAAAAAAATTTTGTTACCAATACGATCCGGCCATGTCAAAGGAACAACAACTAGATCATCTACGCAATGGTATGAAAATTACTCTATTAGACAAAACTAGTGGGCTCGATATCACAACAACGGAAAAACTCTTAGAATTAGTTCTACGATATGAGGCTGACCAACAACTTATCGAGTCTCGTACATCACAAACACCAATAGACATCAATCCCATATTGTCGTCCACCACACAAATGCAACCTCCCCCATCAACAGCGCAATTTTCTTCCTTTTATCCTTCGTCACAGTACTATCATAATTATCGTCAACGGACACCACCTTACTCAGCATATCAATTGTCCTCCTCACAGTCTTTCCACCGTCCAAGCAATCGGTCTAACATATGCTATCGCTGTGAACAACATGGACATTATGCTCGTGGATGTTTAAAACGATGATGGGGGATCTTGATGGTGTAACCCCCATTCACTCACGAAAACCATCATTATTACATACTCACACCTCGTTACATCTACCAGTCCATCTCCACCGATTTCCACGTACACGTCGTCAACAGCTACTCACATGTAATCCGTCTTTGATTTTTATACACGTTTAATCGACGTGTCGATTAATACACGTGTCGATTTTTAATAATCAATAATCGAAAAATTCGTGCTCTCGTCGATTCAGGAGCGTCACATTCGTTCATCACACAAGCGGCCCTCGCTAAATTTCGTCACTTCCCACTTCTCCCGTCAGACATCGTGGCCCATTTAGCCGATTCCTCCTCTCCACTCAAAATATTGGGTACGATTAGCCTGAACATCCGATTTAACGAAATCGTCACATCAGTGGACGTATTAGTCGTTAAAAAATTAAATTTCGACTTTATCCTTGGCTCCGACTGGTTCACACAAACAGGTGCGAGGATTGAAATTTTTAACAATAGCGATTATCCACTAACTTTATACAAAAACGCTATCATCGGACAAATTACTCACACACCACACAACGCTCGGAGTTTCTCAGTTAATTTCCCTTCACAAGCATTGCAACAACACATAGCGTCTCTAAACTCCATTCAAGCAACATCTCCAATTCCGTCTGCGTCCGAAACTATTACTACGTTGGTTTCTCATATCCAAGATCACACACAAAACCGCGATCTTACTAACATACTATCAAAACATGCCAAAATATTTGATTTATCAAAAATAACACAAGCCAATACCTCTGTACATCACGCAATCATCACCGGCGATGCACTTCCTATTAGTTCCAGACCGTATCCCAAAACTATAGAACAACGACGAGTATTACAAAAATTAATTCAGGAAATGATGTTAAACAATCAAATTCGCCCTTCAACCTCGCCGTAGTCATCCCCAGTCATACTACATAAAAAAAACGATGGCGGCATCCACACGGTGATTTAGTGTGGCTCAAGGTCTTACCTGGACGATCAAAGCTAGATGCATGTTATCGTGGCCCATATAATATAGTTCATAAGCTTAGTTCATTAAACTACACGTTAGATGATGGTGTGTGTACATTCACTACACACGTGAATAATTTATTACCCGTTTATCAAAGATTATTCTAAACCGATTTTTTTTCTATCTT